TGTATGTATATTTTTTGTGTTTCGTTGCTGTGCATATACCCGCCGTTATTCTATTAAATATTTCAGCTTTTAGCCGACGAAAAGATGTGACGTGTTATCGTTGTGAATTTGCAGCTTGCGCTCGCATCGCTCGACACTTAAAACGAAGATTATACGGGTTGCGCGATGTCAGTTAAGGATCTTCTCAACACCCGTCCTTCTCCTTCCAACATCCTCCTTTTCCTCCTGCTGCTCCACCCGAAGGAACTTTGTAGTCCTTGCTAAAATGACGTACAATTCACGAGCGCCGGAGGATTAATCCCAAAATGCACCGACGATATATTCCGTCATTTTCGTTTAATTGTGAACAGTTCCGAGCTGCAAATTGTTCTAAATTTAATATCACATCATTAAAAAAAAACAAACAAATGCATATATAGTGTATGAAATTTTACATCTTAGGCAAAATGCAAAAGGTGGCAATCTAAATACTAAAACTCCTGTTGTAAAGTTACAAAAGTTAATTGAAAATACAAATTTAATGATAATAATAAGTAAAATTTCATTTGTATTAATGTAAATCTTAAGTTACTATGAAAAAGATTGTTTTGCACAAATAACAAAGTAACTCTTGTAGTCAAATAAGTCACAGATTTGCACAAATTTATTTAATCTAATATCAGCTACAAATTCATCAAAATTTGTATTTTATTATATAAAATTGTTAATTTAATTGAATGTAACAGGAATTTTCAGTTAAAAAGAACATCGTGTAATAAATAAACATCTAAGTTTAGTGAAAGAAAAGAAAAAAACACTTTACTTTCATAAGTTTTTACATCATATTTCGTAAGCACTTCGCAAAGATATTGCACGTCGTAAAACGAATTTACATAATACTGCAGGCGGCGTCGGGCGACGTCAATTATAAGCATTTTTCTCGAAGGATGAAGAGGACTAGTTGCGTCGCGGCCGGAGTGCGCTTAACATACTTTATTGGCGTTTATTAGGTCTCACCCTTTCGCGTACACTCTGTGCGGCTTTCCGGACACTTTGCATAAATGAATGTATAAAGAAAAGCAACAAAAAAAAAAGGTAGAGTGGAGTAGCGCAAAATTGAATCACGGTTAATTTATTTCGAACCAGACTGATGGATGTTTCCCACCGTGGAATAATGAAACCGGACGATTAATTACGGCCCTTTCTTTCTCTCAAGAGATGAGAAAAAAAGAAATGGAAGCAAACAAGTGTTGCGTTTCTTGTAGCTTGAAAGAACTATTGGGTTTTGCCGGTTAATGAAAAGTATCTTATAAATGTTTTGGGGCGAAACAGCAGCGGCCCTTCGGATTAATGGGCTCGGCGGTCGCTAATACCGAAGGATAATCGCCTGGATGAGAATGATTGGGCTCACATGCACAGACAATAATAGCTCGAGGAGAATGAGGGAAAAAATAGAGAAGTGTAGGATGGATGGAGATGGAAGAGGTTCGGGCATAACTGAAACAAAGCCTGTATTAGGAAAGCATTACGTTAGTGTTTTCTTGGGTGAATAAAGTTGAGTGCATGAGGGTTGTATGTATGTATATATTTCCGGCGTTGGGCGCGGAAAACATACAATGTCCGTGCTATTGTTGCTCGGGAAATTTATGGACACTATCCAGGATAGTCTTGTGGAATGAGAAGAGGAAAGGAGGATGAGGTTGTTGCCTTTATGAAAACCACATAAGTAGGTTTACTGCTTCGAACTTTATTTTGGGCCGTCGCACAAAACGGATCTTTACACTTTATTGTCGGCCACTAATCACGCCGAAATGTTGTTTCATAAATCCGCTGTTGTCGCATCGGGCCGTTGTATAAATGAGCGCGAATAAATTATGTAAACCGTTTCGTGTGTGCGGGCCAGCGTTTCAATCAAATTAAATTGAAATTGCCATTAATATGCGTGGAAATTGAATGAACGCTATGCAAAGAGACAGATGAACAATATTTGGACAACGCATAATTTGCAAAAGTCAAACCATATTTCAATAGACTTCAAGAAATTGTAGTTTTGTAAGCAAATTAATGAACTTTACTCTGTTATGTTCAAGGGATGGAATTTTGTCTCACTTGTTGGGAATTTAGTGAAGTTCGTTTGGTTTTACATAACCTCATGGGTTTAAGATTCATCTGAGACTATGCTCATTATATAAAGATTCTTATAAGACTATGCTCATCATATTAACGTTTTACTGAGACTACTTCTAAATACTTATTGTACTTACAACGTTAATTCTTATTAATACGGATAGTTACTGTTCTCCGTAAGATCTGTCTATTCTACATATTGGTCTTATAGCTAATTGTCTTCAGTTCTACCCAAATTTAGTGGTTGGACATAACAACTCAATGAGAAAGAGAGAGTTGAACAATATTGAAAAATGAAACATTTCAATAATCTTCAAGAATTTCATATTTCTTTTATACATTTTGTACTAAATATAAAGAAAAACACTAATATTATTGCTAATTATGTAGACGAATTTAATGAGAAGAATAATTAACTATAATTTATTTCAAATTCAGTCAACTAACTTTTATGAATAATGAATGAATAAAAATGCTTTTAAATAGAAACAACAACAAAAATAACGCAAATATAAAACAATATTCTTCCAAAATCGAGTAAATTTCATTGGTTATTGCGTAAATTTCGCAATTGAACAGAATTCATTTAATATTTGTATAATTGGTTTTCAAAAACCAATGCTTTTTATTGTTTACTACATGAATGTATTATGAATGTCCCATAATTAGTTTTGAGATCTTTTTTTTGTGCTTTCTATTATCTAGTACATTTATAGAAACAAGAAGTTTAAGTTTAACTAATGTTGATTTAGATTAAGTTTGGATAGGTTAAGTTATGTTAAGTTGAGTTGCGGTTGTTTTGGTAGGATCTTTGAAATGTTTTGCAAAGTTTAGAACCGATTCAAAACACACGAAACTACTGAAAAATAGATACGTTAGGGTGCATGGAAATAATTTGTCTAACAATCAATTATTTCATATAATTATGAAAACTAGCAAAATATGAAGACTTTCGCTGTTAAATTTTCCATAAGTCTTCTATAAGATTACTTAAAAATGATTGTGATAATCATTGCAACATTAATAGATTTTTTTTCATGCAAAATTATTTTAATCTACAATTGAGAAAATTACGTATTTCATGATTGAAATAATCATTTTCAAGGAGAAAAAGAATCAATAATAATTACTATCCAGATTAAATATATTAATCTTTGACAAATTAAATTGCTAATTACAATTAACTTTATCGACTAATTAATATTAATTGCGTGATTGTAAATACAAATTTTGGTACATCACTGCTTGTACTCGGCTTTTAATTGGTTGATGACAATGGGCCCGTGCATCGGATCGGAGATGGGCAACAATAATCTGGAAACGGATCTTGCATGAAGTGCCATTAAAGTTAATTGAATGGAGAGAGGCCTAGTGAGGTTTACACATAAAATAATTTCATTACAAATCGGACGAGAGGGTTCCACAGAAACTCATTTTAAACTCAACATCATTTCACACACACGAAAAAAACACACTACAGCACATTTAATTAGAACATTCAGTCTAGAAAATTTTATACAAATTTAGTTTAAAATATATTAAAAAGAAAGTAGTTTAAAACTCTCTAATTAATTAGAAAATTTACTGTGACTTATTTTTAGGTAAACTTAAAAATTAAGTATATTTTCATACGTTTTTTGTATTTAAGTGTGAAAATAAATATATAAAATATTTTACTTTTCATGAACAAGTAAAAATGTTGTTTTTTTCTATATAATTGCAGAGTTAAGCTTCAATCAACTGGAATATGAAATAAGGTAAATTGACTGGTGTATGATTAATGGGATTAGCGAATAATCCGGCTCGAATCTAAACAGAGCGATTAATAGCAGAAATCGCAGCGATTATAGGTCACTAATCTTTGACAACAAAGTTCTGAACGCTTCGATAAATGAATAAATCCAGATGGCGTGTGTACGTAACTTCGTAGCCATTTCGAAGCCGGGGATCCGAGATAGACGGATAGATTATATTGATAGAGATGATGGTAATTAAACTTACCCATTGAGCAGCATCTCTCCACGGTTTTTGACCCAATAGTTGATGGTGTTCGGGAATGCCTCTACGTAACACTCCAGCTGCACGTCCGTGTTCAGGGGTGCGCCGAGAAGTTGGTTCGGCACTTTGATAACTGGAGCAACTGGAAACGCCAGACCAGAAACCAAACATATTTGAGTACATATACACACACATATATTCATTGATACGATGAGCAAACTAATCTCTAATTGGATCGTGGTTAACATTACCTACACAGCCTGAAGCTAGTTACGTATCTGACCACAACCTTCTGATTTGTCGTGACAGTATTGACTCAGCTATACCACTGTTTACGTAACTATCACATTCTTTTTTTTTTTATTGATAACTGTCATTTTTGTGACAATTACAACTTGTCATTATGACATTGACAGTTGTAATTATATAATTTGACAGCTCTTTACACCAAACAACTAAAACACATGTGTAATTAATGAATAATAAGATAAAACGTGAAGAGCTTTCAACTTTGATAGAGTATACAAAATATGAGATTCACATTCTTTTTTTTTATTGATAACTGTCATTTTTGTGACAATCACAAACTTGTCATTATGACATTGACAGTTGTAATTACATAATTTGACAGCTCTTTACACAAAACAATTACACAGATTATTACAGAAAAAAAACTAACATTAATTAACATGTGTAATTAAGAATAATACGATAAAACGTGAAGAGCTTTCAACTTTGATAGAGTATACAAAATATGAGACTCACATTCTTTTTTTTTTATTGATAACTGTCATTTTTGTGACAATACAACTTGTCATTATGACATTGACAGTTGTAATTACATAATTTGACAGCTCTTTACACAAACAACTAAAACACTTACAATTATTACAGAAGAAAAAACTAAAACACTTACAATTAACAAGTGTAATTATTGAATAATACGATAAAACGTGAAGAGCTTTCAATTTTGATAGAGTATACAAAATATGAGACTCACATTCTTTTTTTTATTGTTAACTGTCATTTTTGTGACAATTACAACTTGTCATTATGACATTGACAGTTGTAATTACATAATTTGACAGCTCTTTACACAAAACGAATTACACAGATTAAAACACTTACAATTAACAAGTGTAATTAATGAATAATACGATAAAACGTAAAGAGCTTTCAACTTTGATAGAGTATACAAAATATGAGACTCACATTCCTTTTTTTTTTGATAACTGTCATTTTTGAGACAATTACAACTTGTCATTATGACATTGACAGTTGTTATTACATAATTTGGCAGCTCTTTACACAAAACAACTAAAACAATTACAATTAACATGTGTAATTAATGAATAATACAATAAAACGTGTAAAGCTTTCAACTTTGATAGCGTATACAAAATATGAAATTATTATAAAATATTTCATATATCGAACAGTGTGGATTTATCTTTATGTAATAATCTGCTTTGTGCATTGAAATAAGTTGTTTAAGAAAAAAAAAAGAAGAGAAACTTTTTGAAGACTTAAGTGGTAATGGACTTTTGATATTCTTAAGTAGTTCAAGATGAATGGATCTTTGTAACAACTAGATGTGGGGGTTGTGTCTGTATATATATATATATTGTGTTTGGGCAATCGAAGTTTGTGCGGGGGCGGCTGAACTTGTTATCGGGCCTTTGGAATCGGTCCTCCCTCCACCATCGTCACTGCCGCCTTCGAGATTATTGTTGCTTGTGTTATTATTATTAAGATGATGCGAAGTTAATAGTTTCTCGGTTATAATGAAACATTCCATCATACCGAAAACGAGCTGGGGGGAATGGGAATACGTCGTGATAAAACGGCAATAATAACAAGTAATGAGCGTTGCTCGAGCGAAACGGACGGGGGTTGCTTTAAGTTTCCCTTCACCCTCTGCACCAGTCTACGTAGTTTAAAATCTAGGGAATAGAGAGGATTCCGCACAAACACATGCACTTTCCTAAATCCTAGGCACAATGTTTAGTTGTATCAGAGTTTGTAATCTGCCGACAGTCCGGCAACTTTCCTTCAGGATGGACGGGGATGTGCAAAACTCGTTATCGGTTGCGTGAGCCACCCCCCAATCCACCAAAACCGCCCTTCCGATGACCGACCAAAGCCCCCCCTTCACCACGCCGCCTCCACGCGTCAACTAACTTCTGTTTTAGATAACTTCCTAATTAGTTTATTGCCATGTGTTAATTCCCATCAAACCATCGCATGCTCCGACGAACATACATTTTAAAAATCCCGCGCGTTTTGCAGATATCCCCCCCCCATGCAAACGCAACGCGAACATCCTTAATCCATTATTAATATTTGCACTATCGCAGTGCAAACCGGATTACGGAGGCAATTCAATCTGGAGCAGCATAATATGAATGATGTAATTACTGCGTATAATTTATTTTGATTGTTGCGTTAATTAGTATTATATATATATATGTGTGACCCGTTTGTCTGTACTAAACGCAATCCGTGTACAAAGAGGTCGGGTGGTCGGTTATTATCGAATGTGGTTGGGGGGTGATGGGATGTAAGGGATGTAAGGTTCTAAGGTTTAATTCCAATTGGGCGTGCACAAAGGGCTGGCACGACCGGCCGTTTGCATTATTCTCAGGGAAAACAAGAAAGCCCTAATCTAATTTAATTACGCAATATTGTACAAAGAAAAGCGGATTAAAGAGTCTGCTGCCGTCGCCGATATTTGTGCGAGAAGTTCGTGCGCACTGAACTTTGCCCCCCCCC